TGAGTGAGAGTACACCCCTCCACCTTTCCTCTCTCCCCTCATCTCCCTCCAACCAAACAAGAGATTGGACATCTTGCTCCATCCCTCTCCTTCCACCCCTCTCTCTCCACACCTCTCCATCCCTTCATCTCTCCCTCCCACCAAACATACTCTTATAGATAATTTGCCTATGATTTTTAGTACTTTGTTTGTAACGATATTGCTTATGTGGTCGTTACTTAATTACATAATCTTGAACTTAACTTAAAATACTCATACGAGGAATTTTTTTCTTTAAACGAAATAATAATTTCGTAAAACATAATAATAACAATTCATAAAACATTTCGTAACTTAAATTAAAATTTTCTAAGACAATTTTAAATAAGAAATCGTTATAAATTCGTATTTCAAATACTTTTTAAAACCTTTCTAAACTAAGGTTGTATAATTACAATCTCGGTCTTCAATAACATATATACATACATACATACATACATACATACATATATACTTGAATCTCGTGAACCGTAAATACATGAATTTCATAATTAACGTATTTTGTGAAGATTATACGCTTTAAACGACTATCATAATTATATTATAGGCGAGGTTTGTACTTGTCTTGATTCTGAGCTAAACAGTCTTGATAGTACTTCGCTTGTCGTGTCGTACTATGTATTCTCTTGAAACTAGCTCCAGGTTAAACCATAAACGTTATGAAAGATCCATGAAACCATCAAAGCATTAAACATCCAATTCTAAACTTCATTATTGGAAGTCCAAATTCTTCACTTTGAATAGAAGCTCTTTTAAAAAGCTAAAACACTTATGACAACAGATCATATAAATATTTTCAGAAGTAGCTTTTGAACCTAATAAGCTAAAAATAGCTTTTAAGAAGTTTTTCCAAACAAGCCCTAAATGTTGTTTGCGTAGGCTAGATTCGTGCACTTGTTCAACCTTCCTTCCTTGGCGCCCAAAATACACAAAATGGGTAGACAAGATGGCGTGGGGACACATGAATAGGGGCCCAAATAAGCCCATATTTTACGTGTCCTTTTGTTTAGTAATTATTGGTCACTGAGATCACAACAAATCTGGATTCTAGCACCATCATGCAATCACAATATAAATTAATCGAATAAATACATCTTTCACATTATCCAAAACAAAAAAATCTATATATAATATTGTATCTTTAATTTGAATGATACTTTCACACCGACAGAGCTCGTGGGGTATGACGTTTTGTCAAAACTGCATTTTCGTCAGTTGGGGATTGTGATGTTTTCAAACTGTCAGTGGAAAATAAGGTGGGCATTAGCCATTTCTGCTCAAATTTTCAGTTATGGAAGTTTTCTAAGGAGTAATTGCAGCAAAGAGCTAAAGAAAGAGATAAGACTTGTCCATTCATTTGATTTATAGATTTGAACAAAAGAATTTGAATAAAGAGATTTGAACTCGTGAAACAAATACACTATAATCGATTTTATAGATAGTGTGTTTTTTTTTTTTTTTTTTTTTTTTTTTTTTTTTTTTTTTTTTTGAAACATCTTCAAAAAATCTTGTCAAAATAAAGTAAAAAAATTTGATAAATATTTGATTGTACGGAATATAGCACCAGTAGGATATGTTATTTATTTATCAAAAAATACTGATAATTACTTGCAAAAAGAAGAAGTTAGGTATATTGGTGAATAACAAGAAGGGGCTAGCCTTTATTTAATGAACACGCACAAATAATAGGTTGGTTTTTAAGATGCACATGATGGTTGGGGAAGAAAGCATTTGCTGATGTTAGCATAGAAAAAGAAAGCATTACCTTCTACCCAGAAAAAAAAAAAAAAAAAAAAGCATTACCTTCTACCAAAAAAAAAAAAAAAAAAAAAAAGCATTACCTTCTACCAAAAAAAAAAAGAAAAGAAAAGAAAAAAAGAAAAAAAGCATTACCTACCCAACAGGTGTATTGAGAGATAAATAAGGTTCCTCACACAAGATATCTTCCAATTAAATGTTATCAAGTTTTTTGCCTTTTTCTCTTTTTTTTTTGGCACAGTTGAATGTTTTGATTAAATCATTAATGAGTTTGGAAGCGTTGGGACTAACTCAAACACTGCTATTATAATGCCAACTTCAACCCATGCGTATTCAAAATTATCTTTTATTTGGTGAAACAGTAAGATCTTTGAATATATGAACAATTCACTTCTCGCGAGACAAGTACCTCATTATCTATTTCTATTTTTTTTTTTCTCCATTGAAAATTTCAATATCTTTTTGATAGGAAAGAGAAAGAAAAAAAAAAAAAGACTTTCTCCGATAAGACTCTCTACTAATAGTACAAGTTTTCGACATTTTTATTTTATTTTATAAGTTTTTTGACCGTTTGATCTAATCAAAATTACATATAATAAAAAAAATGTTCATAAGAGATACTTTTAATACAAATTTAACGATTAAAAAATAAAAAATTACCGTTAATTTATTTTTTTAGTCCAACCAAAAAAACTCCCAAGAAGAAAAATGTGGCTAATCAAGCACAAATCTAATGTCCTTTTTCTCTCTTCTTTTTCTTTTCTTGATCACTCAACTAATTCGTATCTATGAGTATCTTTAGACAGCCTAATTAGAACTGTAGAACGGTAATGTTTAATTAATTTGACAAATTTCTATGTTTCCTAGAAAGTACTTCTCAATAGAATCTATAAACAATTGGAAAATTGGGAATTTCCGAACGTTATGGATTGGACACAGCCAAGGAGTTTCATTTTAGGAGACTTAAAACCCATAAAAAAATTTCCACAAAACAGAATCTGACATATCATAGTATTAACCAATTAGATCAGATCTTTCAGGAGAGGAAAATCATAGCTAGCAAGCACATTAGCGTGATTTGTGCTGAATTATTGTATTTTAATAATTTATGATGAATAATTGTTGATTACTATAAGTTCTCATCAAGCTAAAAGAATTATTGCAATTATAATATGCTAATACTAAAAACGTTACCTTGGTATTTCCAATCTTGCTTTTAACTAACTTTGTCATCTGTTACCGTTTGGTACTTTTATCAGCTAGTATTTAACATAAGAATCTCTACTTCCTACATATATACTTAAAAGTTACTTCTACCGAAAATAAAAAATTGTTTCATCTACTTGTATCAATGATTCACAAAAGCTACGTTTTTTTTTTTTTTTTTTTTTTTTTTAAACCACAATAGAAACAAGAGAAATATGTACCAACAAAGTTTTCCTTCTAACTTTTGTTTTCCATTGTCTAACCACTCAAATTTGTTCCATATTCCACAAATTTCACCACAGACATTAGAAATTGTACTCGTAAATAACATCAATAAAGTTGAGAGCAATCTTATAAAGGCAAGTAACCAAACTTTAACATTCTTCAATTTACATACGGAACTTGGTAATAATTGTTTAAGAGAACACTTCAAGTGATATGTCTCGTAATCTTGAATTCAAACATGAAACTTGGTAATAATAACTCGACAGTGCTCTAACACTAGAGCTCTGTTTTAAACAATTAGATATATATCATATTATATTGTATTAGTTTGTATATTTTTTTATTTTTGATAAATTTAAGTTTTGAAAACATACATCACTAATCAAAATAACCCACCATAAAAAAGCTGTAGAAGGTTAATTAATTATTCCAAAAACTCCTATAGTTTTTTTATTTGTATTTACTAAAATTTGAACCCAAAACTTAACGCATTGAAAACAACATACACACGCTCTACACACTTTTATTAGTCTGATTTATTAGGGCTTGTTCTTTTAGAGTTTAACTTGAATATAATTCTTGAGTTGAAGTTGTAACTTGAGTTTGTGTTTAGTTGTGTACATTTGAGTTATGGTTTGAGATAAAAATCTTTTTGAGTTTGTGTTTTAGTGAGTCAAAACTTGAATTTGTATTAAGATAGTATTTTAATAAAAACTCAATGTTGATGAAAAATTTTAATAGGGAATATGGGTAGAGTTTTATTCGTCTTTTCGTTGTCAACGCATAGAAAAAAAAATCATCTCAATCAGAATTAAAACGAAAAAGTTATAGCATTTTTAAGAATAGAAAAAATAGTATTCATTAATTTGAGTTCGAGTTTCTGAACTCGAGTTGAAGGGGAAACTTGAACTCGAGTTTGAACTCGAGTTTAAATTTGAATTTAAACTTAAAAGAACATAAACTCAAATAAAGTTGTAACTTGAGGGCCCGTTTAATTCGCTGATTCGAGTTTTTAATTCGAGTTGAGATGTGATTTTATGTGAGAGCTTTTTACTGTAACAAAAAAGTTAGATGTGATTGTTTGTGAGAACTTTTTACTGTAGTAAAACTCAAATTCTAAACTCGAGTTACATTTTTTTGAGTTTTTCACTCAAAAGAACAAGACGTTACTTTCTAGCCACTAGCTAGTAGCTTCCACCACATTTGAACATCCGTTCTAATTTAAGTCTCATTTATTTTACCGATTCAAATTTATAATTTAAGTTTTATTATAATAAAAAATTTTCAAAAACAATTACATTAACTTTTTTATTATAATAAAAAATTCTTATATAAAATTTCATATTAACTCAAATTAATAAATTAAATAAGGATATAGTAATTTATGAAGAGCAATACTATTAGACACTGTGCCGCACCGCACACTATAAAATGTTTACGAGATTCATAAATGAGACCCGTCATTTTATTATTAACAGTCTTTAGCACCGGTGATGTCTTTTAACTCTCTCAGTTTAACCCAAACCCATAAAGGTATGTGGTCCAGGGAAACCTGTATACTATAGCTAGGAAACATGAGCAGGTGGGAATTTACAAGAATGCCACGGACATAAATTGTGGAGAAAAAGACGGTTCACAGTAACCGAGACCGACAGACAAAACCCAACGTGGGGTGTCTCTCAAACTCTCTCGTTAATGCATTAACTCAGCCCAGGTGGCCTGTGTTTTCTGCCTTCCCTTCCCACCGTGATTTCAGCTTAATCAGGACCTTCCTAGTCCCTTCCCCACTTCCTTTTCTTTTTTATTTTTTTTAATAACTTTTTTTGGCTATAAATATAAGCATCAAAATCCCTACTTTCTACTCTCACAAACACATTCTTTTTTCATTTTCTCAGCTATACCCTTTGCTCGCTAAATCCATTTCACAAGCATCTATTTGCTCAAACATGAAAATGGCTTCGTTATTATCCACATTTTTGCTTGCATTTTCCTTGCTCTTCTCAAGTCCAGCTTTTGCCATCAGACCTCGATACGGACGTACTCAGTTTGAAGGTAAAAATGCTTCACATTTAGACCCCTTTTTGGCTTAAAATCTTAGACAGTTTTGCTTGATCTATGCATGTATTTTTGTTTTCCCCTTGGTGGATAGTTTTAGTACATTCAACTCATTTTCTTTGGAAGTCTCTTATTTCAACCCCATTTATAGACTGAAATATTGGAGGGTTTTTCTCAAATCTGAATACTTTACTCACTTTCCCAACATTCTTGCTTAATTTGTTTACTATTCTATTTCCAAATGTTATTTGTTTAATTCATTTTCTTTGGAACACTCTTGTTGAACCCCATTTGTTCGTAGTTGTACGAGTTCTCAAATGTTTTTTGTTTGGTTCAAATCTGAAAACTTTACTCACTTTCCAAACCTTCTTTATTGCTTAATTTGTCAAAAAATTACATGACATTTTATTTCTAAACTATATATGCTTGCTTATTCAACTCATTTTCTTTGGAAACCTTTGGAAGTCCTAAAAAGCTGAAATCTTTTTCTCAAATCTGAAAACTTTCCCACTTCCCAAACGTTCTTGTTCATATATTTCTTTCTTTTTTTTTTTTCCTTCATCTTCAGGACTATTGCCAAACGGCAACTTTGAGGAGCTACCAAAGAAGACCGACATTGTGAAGACAAAGCTGAGAGGCAAATACGCACTGCCCAAGTGGGAAATAGACGGCCTTGTGGAGTACATCTCCGGTGGGCCCCAACCCGGCGGGATGTACTTCGCCGTGGCTCACGGCGTCCACGCCGTCAGGCTTGGAAACGAGGCCTCAATCTCTCAGACCATAAAAGTCAAAAAGGGGTCCCTTTATGCGTTGACTTTTGCTGCCTCAAGAACTTGTGCTCAAGAAGAGGTCTTGAGAGTCTCAGCCAGTGGTCAGACCGGAGATCTTCCATTACAAACGTTGTACGACAGTTATGGTGGTGACGTTTATGCTTATGGGTTCCGGGCTGTTAATGATACCGCCATTGTGAAGTTCCATAACCCGGGAGTTCAGGAGGATCCTGCTTGTGGCCCACTTATTGACGCTGTTGCCATCAAGCAGTTCTTCCCTGTGCTTCCCACTAGAGGTAATAAACCAATAATACTCTGTTATAATCTTCTCCTTATTTATATATTTATTTATTTTAGTTTGTTTTGGCCTTAAAAAGTCTATTACATTGGTAAAGTTTGTAAGTTTGTTTTGTTATGTGAGGGATTTGGTGTTCATTGTGGTCTCTGTAATGCTGTGATGTGATCTTATAAAAAAAAAAAAAATGTTACTTTGCAGAGAAATTTTGCTTGGGCTTCAAAAATCTTTTTTGTTGGTAATGTGTGTTTCTAGTCGTTTTGGGTTACAGAGAAATTGGGTTCATTAGGTTGTGTTGTGTCAATACAAAAAAGCAAAAAAAGAAAAAAAAAAGTATTCCTTTGGCTTAAAGTTAGCTCCTTTACTTTGTGCTGTAACATGTGTCTCTGGGTTCTTTTTTTTTTTTTTTTTTCCCATACTAAATGAGTAAATGATCTCTGACGTACAAATGAAAGAAAAGCATTTGAAGAGAATTTAGGGGTATTGTCTCTGATGTGAAAATATAAAAGCATTTAGTAGCAGTGGAATATTTTTGGCCTCAAAATCTCTTCCACTTGTAAAGTTAGCCCCTATATATATATATATATGTATGTATGTATATATATTTGTTTCCTTACGTGGGGTTCCTTGGTATCCGTTCTATGCATTTTGTTGTAAAGGGCAGTTGTAGGGAATATGGTCTGTGATGTGTTGCGATATAGAAATATGTATTTGCTGAGAAATTTCGGTTTGGCCTAAGAAATCTCTTCAATTTGGAAAAGTTGGCACCTTTGTTTTTTTAACATGGGTTTTTGATGTTACAGAGAAATTTGGGCCATTATAGTCTCTGTGACGTGTCAATATAGAAATATGTCGTAGAGAAATTTTGATTCCGCCTAATATCTGTACCATTGGAAATGTCTTCTCCGTGGTTTCCTTTCATGGTTTTTTCCCATGCTAATATCTTTTATATGCAACTATGAAAAACAAATCTCTTTTTAGCGTTATCAAGTTCTCAATTTTCTGATGAATTTCGGATTCATTGTGGTCTCAAAGATTTGTCAATAAATATGTGATCTCTGCATTATTTTTGGTCTAGAATGAAATATGGTTGAACACTTGCACAAGGAATTAGTATGGATGTGTTTCCAACTTGGTCCATTAGCAGAACAAGGGCAATGTTTGATCAATACAAGTATTTGTTTTCTTGCAGATAATTTGGTCAGAAACCATGGATTTGAGTATGGTCCTCATCGGTTGTTCAACTCCTCCAACGGTGTTCTCCTCCCTCCGAAACAAGAAGACGCCACATCCCCACTTCCCGGATGGATCATCGAGTCCCTCAAAGCCATCAAATTCATCAGCGCCAAGCACTTCAACGTCCCATTTGGAAGCTACGCGGTTGAGCTTGTCGCAGGCAGGGAGAGCGCCATAGCGCAGGTCATCAGAACTGTTCCGGGCAAATCCTACCTTCTCAGCTTCACCATTGGCGATGCAAGGAATGGTTGCCATGGAACCATGGCAGTTGAGGCCTTTGCAGACAAAAGCACAGTCAAAGTGTCCCATAATTCCGTAGGAAAGGGAGGCGTCACAAATGGCACTCTCAAATTCAAAGCAGATGCGGCCAGAACCAGAATTACATTCTTCAGTTCTTTCTACCACACCAAGATTAACGACCCCGGTTCTCTTTGTGGCCCTGTCCTCGATGAAGTTAAGGTTGCTCCTGCGCCTGTGGCGTAGATTTCGCCATGAATGAGCCTACATATAGTAAGTATTTAGTTGTAGAGGTTTTGGAAAGAAGGATTTTAGTCTTAAAAGGAGTTTGTATATCAGGTCTTTTATGAGAGGGGCATGTGCTACTTTTGTAGTTTGGTGAGAGTTTGGTTCTGCCTTTTAAGCGGTGTTATGACTCATATGGAGAGCTTTACTTTCCCTGGAAAATACAGGGCAAAATTTAATGTGTCTTGAAGCATGCATTATCCGAATACAAATATTGGGTAAGGAAATAATTTGGCCACTTCGATAATATTTTCTTGTCCTTTACAAATTTGGTTTTATTTGTCAAATCAACGCGTTATTTTATGCCTACTTAATGCTCGTCATTTGCTATCGGTTTCTTATTTGACGGCCTTGGAAGCTCTCAGAGTTGTTAGTTTTCCCGTTCCTGTTACTTCTCAATTGCTGTCTTTTTTCATCGTTTTTTTTCTTTTTATACTCATTGTTGTATTTGTTGACCTTTTACGCTTTTGTCGTCTTTTCAATTGTCGTCATTTCAGTTTCATCTCGTTCCACAGTTTATATCATCTTAACATTCCACTCGGTTCAACTTCTTTTCGTCATTCCATTTCCTGGCATGTGACTTCTTTGTCGTTGTCGATTCTTCACTTGTTGTCGTTTTACTTGCTATCATTTTTATAGTTTTTTGGGTTTTCTGGTTTTTTTGTTGTGTGTGTGTGTGTGTTTTTTTTTTTTTTTGGTTTTATTTTCTATTGGGATAAAATCAATCTGGTACTTGTATTATAACAAAATATTGAAAATATTGAGTTGGCACATTGTGTTTTTCATAATATTAAAATGGCAGCTTTTAGAAAATATTTTTTTTTGATACCTTAATGCCCATTTTTAGGATGCAAAATGACATTTTTACTCGGCTATTGAATCAACTAAAAAAAATGATAAATTTAGAAAATTTCTAAAAAATTATAAGAAAGCAAAAAAAAAAAAAAAAAACACATTCTTACTTCTTTTGCCTATAAATCCAAATGAAGAAAAAGTAAATTAAAGAAAAACTTTAGCAAATCAAATTGTAGACAACTTAACCAACAAAAATCACCAAGGCAAATCAAATTGAATGTTAGAACTTCAACAACACACATGACCAAACAATTGAAATTAGTCGAAATCTGAAAACCCCTTTCATCATTTCCCTCCCTCGCCCAGATCAGATTGGAGAGAACTTCATCAACACACATGAACAAATAATTGAAATTAGCCGAAAGTTGAACACCTCCCTTCATCATCTCCCTCGCCCAGATCAGATTAGAGATTAGAACATCAATAATACACATGAACAAACAATTGAAATTAGCTGCAATCCCGTTCGCAATACTCACCTCCCTCGCCCAGATCCGCCTAGCGCTGCCAAATTGAGCCACAAGCAGCCTCCAAGCCAAAATCTAAATACCCCCGTTGAGTAAAAAAATATTTATTAATATTAAAATAATATTTTACACATAACATAATTTCACCTATATTAGGATTTAATTAATATAGGAGCTTATTATTTTTAATTCGACCCATTTAAGATTATAAGAATAACTTCTTAATTACAATCCCTTGGTACAAGGGAAGACCTTTTGATTCTAATTAAAACAGTAAATTCTATTTTTTGTGAATTTAGAAAATTTGGGTTGATTTAGAATTGTGGCTAAACTCGATGAATTTGGCCGAGTTGCCTACATACCCCATTAAGGGATCAAGCTACTTGTAGTTCGAATTTTGGGTTTAAAAATTTTGGATAATTTCTCGGTGTATGACCTTATGAAGAATTTACGCACTTTGAAATTTGATTTAGTTTTGTTTTGACTTTGTCTTTTATGAGGATTTCAGGATTTAATTTGATCTTGAAACTGCACCTAAATTTTAGGTTGCCTACGTATCTGATAAGGAATCAAGTCAATCGTAGTTCTTGAATTTGAATTTGAATTTTAAAGAATTCCCTGATATATGATCATAGGAGGAATTCAAAGATGTTTTAAAATTTGATTTGAAATTTTACTTTAGAATTTGAATTTGAAAGTTATGTTTGAATAATTTCCCGGTGTATGACCTTATGGGGAACTAAAAGGATCTTTTTTGAATTTGGGTTTTGAGATTTTTTTTTGAATTTGGGATTTGAAAATTTTGAGTTGAATGACCTCGTTTTGGACTTTTGAGAATTTGCTTCTCATATTATTTTTTTTTTGAACTTTGAACCACACCTAATTTGATAGGTTGCCTACGTATCCTTTACGGAATCAGGTCAACGTAGTTCATTCTTAGTGATTTTAGAGTTTGTTTTGAATTGAAACTCTTATATCTCTCTTTGAATGATTTTGGAGATAATTTGATTCACTATATAATATATATATATATATATATATATATTTTTTTTTTTTTTTGTGAAATGGGATTTACAGTATGTTGATAACATTTTGTATTGCATCTGTTGCAATTATCAACGTTCCATCATTGATGGATGAATTGCCCTCTTCTTTAATTTGAGCAACTCAATTAATTAACCATCTTGGCTTCTCTGCATGCTTTGGGACGAGGCTTCATGCCTTCTGTGATAATTGATTGGCCTTCAGTTATACCATACGTTGTTAAACAAACAACAATGAAGTCTTCCCCTTTATTTGGGCTTACGTCATTGGTAAAGAAGGCCGGAGCCTCTATTCTTCTCTTATTGGGCTTGTAATCAATGTCAGAGGCCCATTTAGATATAGCCTTAGGAAAATCAAGTTCCACATTGCACTCTTCGGAAGTTGAAATCCATTACTGCTGTATGGTTCTTGTGCAGTAATTTTTGCATGGTTCTCCTTTATGAATGAGCATGAGAGTACATAAGGGAGTGACTATTTCTTTCTTCAGAATTTGGGAGGTCTTCATTGATTGCGAACTGAAAGTAGTTAAAATTGCATGCATGGCCGATTGTGAATTTGAAAATTGTATTTAATCATCATATGATTTTATAAGACAATTGGCTCATCGTTTGAATTAAAGAACTATAGAGGGGCCTAATTTGTGTACTTTAAATTTTAGAGTATTTAATATTCTGAATTTCTTTGAAATTTATTGTCTTTCTCCCTTTTTTTTAATTTTAAAATTCAAAATCAAATCCACCATTTAGATTGGATTTGTTATGATTTAATTTGTTTTGGCTGATCTTCTAATCTCAAAATGAATTGAAATCCCTTTTTCTTTGCTAACAATTTGATTTCAAAGAAAACTCAAATTTCTCTCACCCTCCTCCTTTGTACACGTTTTTTCTTTATATATATATATATATATATACACATTACGCGCTGCAAAACAAAGTGCAACTTTTATATATATACACACACATTACGCTGCAGAAAAAGAAAAATCGCAGCTGGCAACTTTTTTGATATATATATATACACACACTGTTGAAATAATCCCACCAAACGACAGTGAGTATAAGAGATTACATTCCCTCAGCAGCCAAAACGCAGCGTTTAAGCAAGGAGACTACCCATCAGAGTGTGACACGTGGGAGATAGACTTCACCAACTTAAGGCTTCCTTCTTTGATTATATAATCGCTACGTGTACTATTAAAGACTTCTTCTTCATCTTTGAACTTCTGAGATTACAGAGAGAGAGAGAGAGAAAACTCTGTGAGAGGTGATCTAAGTTCTAGAGAGAGAATCTGTCGATAGCTTTGTTGGGTATTGAGAAGATTTTTGGGTTCTATTCTAAGTGGGGTAATCTTCTCTGTAATTTGGGGCTAGGGATTTCTCTGATTCAAAAACTTAGGGTTCGTGGGTTCTCTTTTGTAATCATTGTGAGACTGAGGGTGTAATCAACTTTCTAATAGTGGAAATAGCTATTGTAAGATAGCTCAACGGGGACGTAGGGGATTTCTTGCCCCGAACCTCGGTAAACTTCTGGTGTTCATTTTTCCTTTTATTTTGATTTTGTGGTTTCTTGAATATTTGGGTTTGGAGTTGGTCTTGTTCCAATAGTGGTATCAGAGCCGACGATTGTATTTTCGATTGGTGGAGACTCAAAAAGTAATCGGAGATTCTTGATTCAAGAATCTTGGAGGAATTTTTTGCTCGGATGGGGATAACAAAATTTGAACTGGAGAAGTTTGACGGCACCAGAGATCTTAGCCTATGGAGGAAGAAATTAAGGGCCATTCTAGTTCAGCAGAAGGTGGCTAAGGCCTTGGGAGACATGAAAGATGTAAAGGCAACGGATGAAGAGAAAGACGAGATGCAGGAGATCGCCTACTCAACAATAATCCTTTACCTAGCAGATAACGTCCTAAGGCAGGTCAATGAGGAAGACACGGTTGCGAAGGTATGGCTCAAACTTGAGCAAATTTTTATGACAAAATCTCTTACAAATAAGATTTATCTCAAGGAAAGCCTTTTTGGGTTTAAGATGGATACCAGTAAAAGTCTTGAGAAAAATTTAGATGATTTTAATAAAATTATCATAGATTTAGCAAATATTGGTGAAAGGGTAGAAGAAGAAAACCAAGCTGTAATTCTCTTAATCTCTTTGCCTGAGACCTTAAGGGAGGTGAAAAACGCCATTAAATATGGCAGAGATAGCCTTGGCCTTGATGATGTTTTATCTGCTTTGAGGTCACGAGATCTAGAAATCAAAATGGAGATGTCTCAAAGAAAGGATACTCATGGAGACGAAGGTCTGTTTTCTCGGGGAAGACCAACTAAAAGAGATAATAGTAAGCCTAAGTTCATGCCAAATTCAAGATCTAAGTCAAGACAAGGTCAAAGAAAATGTTACTACTATAACAAGATTGGCCATATCAAGAGATTCTGTAAAGAATGGAAAAAGAAGCAGTCAGAACATAAATCGAGTGATGGAGATACTACCTCAGCAAATCAAGTGGATGGCTATGAGAGTTCCGAGATGTTAGCTGTCACAACCAGTCAATGTGAGGATGAATGGATCTCAGACTCTGGTTGTACATACCATATGTGCCCTAGCAGGATATGGTTCTCTGAATATGAAGAAATAAATGGGGGGAAGGTTCTAATGGGGAACAATAATTCATGTACAGTCACAGGCATTGGTTCAATCACACTAAAGTTGACAAATGGAACATCTCATGTTTTAAAAAATGTTAGGCACATCCCCGAGTTGAGGAGGAACCTAATTTCGTTAGGGGCACTAGATGATGCTGATTTTTTTTACAAAGTCGAAGGTGGAGTATTGAAGGTCCTTAAAGGCTCTCTTGTGATTCTAAAGGGAGATAAGCATTAGGGCC